TCTAACATATATGGTATCATTTCCTCAAATGTTTTTCCCCTAAGTTGTTCTTTATCAATGTATGAATCACCAATGTTATTAAAAACTTGTTTAATCTTTTCAATAAGTTCCTTATTATCCATATAAGTAACATATCCTGCATATTTTGTATATATTTTATTTTGTGTATTAAATGATAAAATATAAATGCCTTTGGATCTGGTTCTCTTTTTAAGTTTTTTTGTTAATAAAATTAAGTCATCATCATATAACAATCCATAATCTTCAAATGTTTCATCATCATCAATTGTGATTAAATTTTTTCTTGATTTATTGTAAAATTTTGGTATCTTTACTTTAATATTTTTAAATTTCTCCTCATATTCTATTAACCATTGTGTGTCTTTTCCTTTTACAAGTATACGTTCTGATGCTCCAAATAATCTTGAACTTTTATAGAGAGTTTTTAAAGGCAATGTTAGATTTCTAAGCAAAGATTTTTTTATATTTATTTTAGGTGATTTTTGTATTTGTTCTCTATATTTTTTTAATTTTTCTAATTTTTCTTCATTAATAAATTCCTTGGTTAATAATTGATCTTTAATTATCATAGTTATTTTATTATCTAGTAGAACTCTTCCAAATAGAATATCTTCTGTTGTATTTTCTATAATATTTTCATTAAAATATTTTGTAACATCATTAAAATTGTCAAGATTATAAGGATCCATCAATTGACACTGATAATTTTTTGTGTTGTGTTTAGAATAGATTACTAATAAAAATTCTAACTGATCTTTTGTATAAAAATCCAATTTTTTAATGTTAATATTTTCTTCTAGTTTAGCTATTTACAAATTATAAAATGTCTTAGTTATAAAATCATATTATTTTAAGTTAATTAAATTATAAACACTTACATGATGAAATAATAACATCATCTTTTAATGAATAAACTAATAGTTTTGAATCAGATTTATTATATGTCACCATTAACAAGTTATTTTTGTTAAAATAAATGTTATCATATCTAAGTAGTAAGTAATGATTTTTTTTACGCAAAAAAGTTCCATCATTCCATTGTAATTTCCATTCTGAGAGCAATACACCATTGCTAGCAATTAGAAGATTATTATCAGGAGTGGAAAAAAAATCAGGATTATGAATATTATAAAGTTTATGTGTTGTTTTATGAACTACTGGATTGTTTATACTGTTGTTATCATATGTAAATAGATGTAAATTATAACAATCCTTCTCCATTTTGCCCATTATTAGTTTATTATTTCCAAAGAAAAATCCTTGGTCAAAAGTTATATTTATTTTGTGGCTGATCTGAATTTCAAAATAATTTACATTTTTTTTTGAAAAGTCAAGAAGTTCTATAAAAAAAATTTTTATATATTACAATTTATTACATATCAATAAAAATATATTATTAATTAATAATCACTTACTATAATAAGATTTATTTTCAGAATGGTTACATAAAAGTATACATTTATCATCAGATACATCCTCTATAGTTATATCAATAGCTTCATCTGAACTTGGATCTTGTTTTTCACCAAAATCAACATCATCATTGTCTACAGTTATACCAATAAATTTGTCTGAATCTTCTAAAAAACCATTTTTAGAATATTTCAAATATTTGTCTTGTTCAATTGTTTTTTCATCAATACCAACTGACCATCCAATGATAGATTTATTTTTTGCACTATGAGTAACAAAGTATTAGTAGTCGTAAGTATTTCAAATAATCATAAATGTTTCAAGTATTTCGAATAGTCATAAGTATTTCAGATATTTGAATATCGAGTGATAATAATAATAATAATGAATATTCGAATATCACTTTGATCAGAAACCTTTTAATTAATTACTAACTGTTAATTAATTCTTAACTAGATTTTAAACTGAATTAATTTAATTATAACCGGATTTTAATTAATATTAATATTAATAATATTAATTGTTGATCCGTCTATGAAATTCAATGAGTACTGTATGGGTCGAGTATATAAAATTTTTTTTTTGTGCAAACGATTGGATTAAATTTGTTACACAGAAAATATACCTGAAAATTGTTTTTCATTCACCTTTAAAATTTAAATTTTATAGAAAGGTTAAAATTATAAATTAGTAACTCTCTATGGGGTTTCCGTGGCTACAGTGCAAATCGTATATACTCAAAATTATGAAAACCTAAATATCATGGTGATCCACTTGTCAGATTTTAATGAAAATATTACCATTCAACTCAGCTTTAAAAAAGGAATCGATTTATAACAAAAAAAATTTACTCTCATTTGTTAGTCGAAGATCTTTCTTAATTTGGAAAATAATAAATTTAAAAGTTTCAAAAAGATTTATTTAAGATAAAAACAAAAAAGAAATTAGATTAAAATAAAAGAATACTTAAATTTTAATTTCATCATACACAGAATCAGGAACTCTCCTGTGTGATCTATATTTTTTCACTGCAAACTCAGCTAATCTTCCTGAAATTCCCTTTCTATAAACATCCATATATCTCCAGCTTTTTTGTGCATAACGATGAATTGTTGTTAAGGATACTTGGTACAACTATTTGTAAACTTGACCACTTATAATCACAATTCTTTCTTGTATAATGTTTTGCAGCTCCCCAAAACATTACTAGAATCTGAAGAATAAATTTCATCTGATAAAATAAAATCTGAGCCAGAAGAATCTGATACCTTGCTTTCTTCAAATTGACCTGTAGATGAATTGTTAGATCGATTTTTGAAATTTTTTCTTTGAGCAATTTGTTTTTT